GGGTCCGGGGGCCTGGTCGAATGGGAATTCTTGCCGAGGTAGCCCCTCAATTGCCAGTAGCAGCAGCGCCTCCAAAGCCGACTCACTCAGCCTGTTCCTCATGTAGTTTTTGACTATGCGCATGTGTGAACTGTTCAAAAGAGCTCTCTGCTGATTGGCTTAGCAGTGAGGGTGACCAGCCAATCACAGCAAAGCACACAAGTGTGCTTTGGTTACTGCTCGCAAAATGGTGGCATCAACAAACGATCAATTCCCGCGCTGTCAAACTTTTATTGTGGTGGAATTTAATCGGGGCGGAGGTAATTTAAACGTGGCGCAACGATTGAAATGGGGGGGGGGTTCCCAAACGGGGCGGGCGCGCCCGGTTTGCGCAACGTAGAGAGGGGCCTGATATGTATCTATATTTCTAGAAATGTAGCGCAATTCGTTTGCGAGATATGAGAGTTAATACACTTCCATGCCGCCTATAGCCAAATAGTGTATGCGGGGGGGGGGGGGGTTAATAGCCGTTTACAATGCGCCAGTACAGGCGGGCGCGGTTCGAACATTTAATCATCTGTAATTCACTTCTAAGGAATATCTACATTGGGCACCCCCTCTAATATTTATAGTACTGCCATAGGCTACAACTGTGCCAAGTTTGATGCTTTTGTCAGCTCTGTAACGATCATGAAGCTAAGGGACCAGACTTATTGACTAATAATAGGGTTCATAGGGTCTATGTCCCCCAGGGTACTGCCGGAACGTACCCTGGGTACGGTCCGGTATACCGGAACGTGCCCTGGTAACTATCTGAGATGGTTAGGGTTAGGGTTTGGGTTAGGGAGTAGGCGTAGGTGACTCCCTAGACTCGTTAGTGGAGTAGGCGAGGTACGGTCCGGTATATTAGATTACTAGTTACAGTACCAGCAGAGTACCGCTGAAGGGGTCGTTGTCGTATCAGGTACTACAGATATGTAGCCGAGGTACATATATGTAAACACAAAGTGTACCAGACTGTACTACAGAACTTGTACTTCGCATACACAACGCCCCTTATTGGCACGCACGTGTATGTGTGTTAATGTAAACGTCGCTGATTTACCAATTTTATGATTAGTGGCGTCATGCTCTGGAAAACATTACAAAAGAGAACTGTAACAAAATACAAACCACTGATCTCTATAATAAAATCAGTTATTTATAGAGATCAGTGATGCTGCCATCAAGGAGGCTGCCATTATTTTTTGTGCGTGCTGCCATCTATGTTCAACAAAATGGAAATTTATGTACAACCCGCAACCGCTGCGCAGACCAGCCAGTACACAATCTGGCTACGTTAGTGTGTTAGCGCATGCGCAATATCTCACCAGGGGAGTTATATTTTGTGATGAATAT